ATATATATACATACATACTGATCAGCAGAAAAGACAGACAGTAATAAAGGCCTAGAAAAGTTGGGTAGAGAATTGGGGAAGTTAAAAGGTGACGGGAGAAGGAAAGGAAAAACACCGGCTGTGAGCACACTACACATTTATCGAGAACTTCTGTTGAGAGTTCTCCCCCTTGTTTCCAGGGACGATACTCTGTAAGCTGCGTGTTCTATTTCCTAATACAGGCATCAGGCGAGTGCCGACACGCGCATTGGCCTCCTTTTGGGTGCTATTTTTAGCCCTTTCCATCTCTCTATCCCTTTCTCTATCTTCTCCTGCACCATTCATATGGACGCCCCAGTCTACCTTTCCCCATGTTTCAACCTTTACCTGTGCTCACGGAGGCCAGTGGAGAATTGCAGACACATCAACCCCCTCTCGGAGTGCCTCTCTTTCTTCTTTCATTTATTTCTCTCTCTCTCTCTCTCTCTCTCTTGTCTTCTCTCTCTCTCTCTCTCTCTCTTCTCTCTCTATCTCAATCACCTTTGTTACTGTACAGCGAGAAACTAAGAGTGGGAAACATAAATTTGACCCCCCCCCCCCCCCCTTTCTTCTTTATTTTTCTTCCTGCTTTATTATTCGTCTAACCGTCTGTCAGTCTGTCTGTCTTTCTCTCTCTCGCTCTCCCTCCTCTCTCTCGCTCTCCCCCCCCACCTCTCTCTCTGTTTTTCTCCTTCACTTCTTCGTCCTTTCTCTCCAAAAAACACGCACACAAGACATCAATTTCCTTAGTTAATTATTTCTGGCGGGTCGCCTTTAAAATGAAGGTTTAAATTGAAACCTGAGGGTTTGGAGTGGATCCCCCCCCCCTCTCTAAATTACTGATTTCTTACTGATGCACTAATGGAAATGGGAATGTGGTCGGTGAAACGTTTCGCTCTTGACAGCCAATCAATGAGTGTGCAGAAGGCCATGAAACCCAAGCAAAATCCTAATGAATATGATAAAACTAAGCGAAAGATTCCCTCACAACTTTAATTTTTCACCTGCACACTCTTCCACCTCATTCGGTTGACTTCTACCTTCCTCAACCCATCCTCCCACCTGCACACCCCCTCCTACTCTACTACCCCATCCTAAGCTAACCTTCTCTTCCACGCCCCC